TCAGCAGATCAGCAGTATTTTCTTTGTATCTGTGCGAAACACTAACGATAACACTTTGATGTGAAGTCTTATAAACGCGTTATCGGGGCTTTCCACCATCGATACCGATGCAAACAGAAAACTCATCTATTTTGTAGCACGGCAGTTTCAAAGATCAATGTACAAAAAACTCAAAGGTAAAGATTGCAACAAATCAAACCCCTTCTATGGTGGTGACGCATATTTAAAAAATAACCAAAAAGCTGTTCGTGCAAGGGAAATGTAGAATTTTGCCCCAGGTGCTTTTTGATATGTCAGAAATTATTTGCAAACTCGACTTTGTGGATGTACTCACGCTAGCTTTGTTGCAGTTTCTTCTAACAACTGCTTGGAACTTCGTCAAATGGTTATGGCAACAACAACAGCAGCGCACCCATACAAGCTACTCACCTATTGACCGCAATTCTAAGTACAATAATCCGCGGTAACTATGGCATAAATTTAGCAAAATATGACCCTTTAATGCCGGGCAACACAAAGCGGGCGTTTAGCTCCACCAGTCAGTTAAGCAACAATTTATATGCGAGTTTGGAGTTTGTGGCTTTGGTCTTTTGTTTGAGTTTCAAAAATTATCATTTTGTGCAGCGGAAAGCTGTCAAGTCGCGAATTTTTCGCGCTGCGTGTGTGTGCGTGCGTGAGTGTGTTCGTGAGCTAAACCCGCAATTCCTCCGCCGACGACTGTGCGTGTGCTTATATGCGAAAGTTGGTGCAACTTAAAATGCACTGCCGGCCACCGACAATAAAGTGTCCACTTATTAAGTTAAACAGCTGCGATTTTGAAAAGCCAATTTGCGCATAATACGCTGGACGTGAGCAAAATTTTTGCATGTCACCGTGACTGTGTCTGGTGTTTTTCACCTGGTAGCTCGGCTACCCGACTGTTTGGGTTGCCGCGAGCTACAAGCAGAAACTCAGCGATTTGTGCCACACGCACATACCTTCAGGCGAATAGGAATTTCAGTTTTTGCCCATGCGTAGGCCGTGTTAAGGCTTGAGTACGCAATATTTATGATTAAGCGCGGACTATGCTAAAGTCATACATATGATTACAAATATGTATATTTGCATATACGTAATTTTTGTGTGATAAGCATTTATGGGGATAATAAAACCAATTGTCCCCGTCTGCTTGCCGAAAGCACGACTCTCTCGACGATTTATAAGAGACCACAGTGGTCGTCAGGGCGATTATTTTATAACTAACCTGCAACTGTTAATGACTTAGTCACTATGATTTGGTGTTGGAAGTTAAAAAATTTAGCGGGTGCTTATTTTATATGCACAAAAAGTGATTGTTCATGGCGCATGTGCCACAGAAATCACCAATAAAACACCATCAGACATGCCATATATGAGAATATGGGCATTTTTTAATTGGAAAATTATACAAAGCCAAATCGTGTGTGCCGGAAATGATTGATTACATCGTCTAATGTGACGGAAGTGCAACAAGCGACTTTGTTTAATGCAGTTTTGCATTTTCATTGAAGTGCTTTATCTGTATGACACATGTTCAAAGGTTTTGAGGCTTTACGTGGGTGGTTTCCTACAGCCAACTTGAAGGTGTAAGGAATGTAGTGAAATAATAAAAAAGAGTATGGGACTGTTTTGAAATTTGTTGCTTGAGATTCAAGCAACTTGATGTGTTGACAGAATACTTTAGCGACCTAAATTTCTAATACTTAAATGATAATGCTTTGACATACTTTTTCCCTTGCTCAAATAACTAAGATAGTGCGGATATATTTGCTTTTTACGACGGTCGGCTATGGCTTCACTAACCTCGCACTTTGAATGTGCGGTCCAGAATACAAAACTCTAAAACACTATTTATGGATTGACTGATGGCGACACTTGAGTTTACGATTTACGTTAAGCTTTTCTACATAATTGGTCTGATTCGTTGAAAGACAATTGGTCGATTTTGCCACATTTCCTTCTTTTTGTGCCCACTGGGCAATTCTTGAACCTGATTCTCAGAATGTTGCAAAAATAAAGTGCAACAACAGTGTACAAAAGGTAAACAGACAGCAATGGATATAATAATGTAAGCCGAAGCGTTTAAATTCGCCGACAGTAGCCACAAAACAAATCCCTGTAAAAAGTGCGATTGACATTGCCGGCGCTGATAGTGCGTTAATGGTGGCGCAAGCAACACACCGATCAGCGGCGAAGCCGATGGTGCCACCACCATTGTTTCGCCTGTCGGCGTGTGGCGGCACATCGGCGGTATTGTGTCGCTGACAGCATTTCTTGTGTTTACAAATTCGTGAATATTTGCTTCCTTTGTGGGGGAGCCATCGCCGCGCAAACGGTTATCCTTCATGGCCACACAATGAGCTTTGCGGCCTATTGTGCGACGCTGGCGATTCAGGAGGTTCTTGTGTCAAAACGCAAGTGAGCAGTAAGTGCATAATGTGTTTAAAAAATATCAATGATTGACAGTACTGGGAAAAATCAGCGCCAATTGTCTACACTTTTGCGGATGGTAAATGTGTGTTCAAAGAAGGTGGCAGAGGTGGGGTCCTCAGCGTGGTGATATTACTAAGCTGCTACTGTTTTCTAGCTGCACATTTGGATTCTGCGGTGGGCTTTATTTATTTGAGTAAATTGTAAGTTCTGAGTTGCGAAAAGTATTATATTCCTTCTTAGTAACCAAGATCAATGATAATGGTGCTCAGCCTCTGGCTCTTAAATTGAACACAATTAGTTTTCGATAGTAGTTTTCTCTTCGGTTCAAACATTTGATAATGCAGATTCGCCGGGCATCATATACACATTTAACATTTTACCAGTTTACACGAGATGGAATAACGAACGAACCTGATTATTTCTGATAGCAGAAGTTTAAAACTTTGTACATATATAAGTATGTACAATAATCGCAATTAATAAAATACGTTGTTTATGTAAGTGTGCGAGTGCTTCAACGAGCGTAAGAGCGGACTTTCTTCTTCTTGTTGCCGCAGTCAACCTGCAATTTAGAGGGCTTAAACGCCTTTTCGAGATTGAAATGAAAAAGCACAATTTACCAATTTGTCCTCTGGGTAAAACAAAAACTATTTATCTCAAAAAAGTTGTCACTCGAATTACTCGCGCTTATCTTAAGTGGCTTGATAAGCAGACAAGGAAATCCATAATCTATCGTCTGTCTGCTTAAGTGTCTGCTTTGAATCACATTAACTGCTTGTTAGATGTCAGCGTCGACTTGGTAGGTGCTTGGAAGCGAGACAAGGTTGTTAAAATGTAATTAATTTAAGGCAATTATGGACAACAAATAACATGCGCATAAGTTCACATCAGTATGTCCATGTAAATGCCAGCATAGTTTGGTAAGAGATACGGAGCTGGGTGTATAGAAGTGTCGATAATAAATTTGTTAGTTTGGCGCTAGACAGGACACTAAGAAATACAGTGGAACGGAGGTATAACTCTGGCTGCTGAAGCCGAAGAAACTGGACACCGGTTTTATCAGTGCTTCGGCGAAGCGTACTGTGTGTGTGTGAGCATATTTATCGGGAAGGCGTTGCATAGTTGCATGGGCCACCGCCAATATAGGAACATGGTGAAGTGCACGGTTGGGGTGAGAGAGAGGGTAAGAGGGTGTTCGCTTAACGAGCGTTTAATTTATAAAGCGACTATTTATGCGGCAAATACCTCGACACATACTTACATATACGCTTACACAACTGCATGCCACTGCAACAACAAGAGCACAACAATAAAGGGCAGATTGTGTGCAATTGTGATAAATACGCGCAATTTGACACCGAAACGAATAAATTCCCGACACTTTAAAGATGACAGCCACAACAATGAAACCTCAGGCAGCACTGTGACACACTACGCAATCACGTTGCACGCTGGAAGCGGAAAGACAAATTTATACCCGGCGTGGAAAATCTGTAATCTAAGTGAACTTGTGGCAAATCCCATAAACTAATACTTTTTTGTGGCCATATCTTTTGGAAAAAAATTTCCCTATCTCTATGCCCACATTCAGACATTCGCGTACATACATATGCACACAGTTAAGCCTCTTGCGATGGGTCAGTTGGGCATACATAAAGATGTTAACATTTTTTGGCAACAGGAATGGGCTGGTGACTCCTCGGGCAGCCACTTGCAATATTCACTAATTGTTATGCGGAGAATAGCGGAAGGATGGGAGACGATGTCCCTTGAGACCACAACTTGTATGGCTTGTGTTGCCTTTTCGATTTTTGCATGCTAATTAAATTTTTACGATTGCATATTAATTCAGTTCAACCGCTCAACCGTGTTGAGCTTTTCATTGGTGGTCGTCAAAAATTTTGCTATCAAGTAAAAAATTGGGACGAAACTCTCACGTTAGTGGAAAAGCTCGGACTAATATCTTCCAAGGAGTAGTTATGGGCAGTTATTGAGGTTCTCATTTATTAGAATGATGATTTCCCCGATTTACTGAAAAATAAACATATTTTGTTAGGATCCGCACCGTATAATTTACTTAAACTAAAATATATGACTTGTGCAGCATTCGGTTATTTTATTAAGGTAAATGCGGAATTTCGTTGCTAGTTGTTTATGGATATACCTATGTATATAGAGTGGAAAAAAAGATTTACATTTTAGTTAAAGCTTTTGTTGAAATTCCATAAAATGTTGAAATTTCAAACTTCGCGAAATGATGAACGATCGAAATTAATGGCCTGGGCAAATAAGATGTCTATAAAGCAGTTAAATGACACCAACTTTTCTTAAATGCAAATGCATTAATGATAAAGTTAATGGGCATTAATGAGAAGATTAAATTTTGCCAAATCAGTTGAGCAATATGGTATGAGAGGGGTGTTGCGAGGAAAAAGCGGTTAATTACTCAGACTCACAACTCACTTGCAGAGTGTTCATTTAAAAAGAATATAGCTGAATTAACTGTGTTTAAACAATCTGAGTTATTTCTATGATGACAAATACTTTGTCTTCAATGAGGGATCAGTGCGGTTCGAAGTTTTGACTTTTTTGTTGCTACAATATAATAATCTTGAACCAGAAAAATCAATGAAAATATATAAATTGTTTACTCGAAGTTCTCAAGAAAAGAGCGGCTGTTTACAAACCAGTCGCGGCTACGCATTCATTACGGCTTTATATTGGCAAAAGCTTTTCAGCATTCAGCATTTCCAAAACGATTCCAACTAAATTTTAAGCATTTGAAATAACAAAATCGCGGGTACTCACGCCTGTGGATCTGTTGATGGTCCACTGCTTTAAAGAGCTAATTTTCCATTACTATCAGGTCTGCGCAAGTTTCACAACTTTTAACAGGTGAGGTTACATAAGGACTAAAGATATTGTAAGGGTTCCGAAACGATTACACAAAAACGAAGGAATTTGTCGGCCATATTGCCAAATAAAAATTAAAACCTTTATTATTTTTTATTCAATAATTCTTTAGTTACACAAGTGTGTTGTCAGCGTTCCACGCAATTGTATCTATATTTCCTTTTCCCGAACCATTTACCGGCTCAACCGAAATACGAAATTGATCTGCCATTTTGATTGAGGATCTTTGGAAGAGGTAACCGAGGGTATGAAGCTGCAAAAAATAACAAACAGCGGGACAACAATTGAAATACAAAAAAATGAAAATTTCGAATAAATCGACACAAATGTAAAAAGTCAGCGAATTGCGAATGACTGATGGTCTACTTGAGTCCTTTGAGTATGTGGAGCGACTCTGATTCCAGTGCGAGTACGGGCACATACTTGTAGTTATAGACTTATATGCGCATAGCATACAAATATGACGACCTAATCAAAAGGCAATCACTTTGTAGGCAAAGAGGAATGAGTCCTGCCCCTGAGGAAATATGGCATTTTTTATTATGGTATGTGCGACTGACGCGTAGGCAATTGGGTAGTGCCATTGCTTAATAAGCAAATAGGGGTCGTTGTGTCCCTTCAACGCTGGTAGCAAGCAACCCTCGCCCGAATTGCGCCAATAAATAAACTTCAATTGTGTAATTGATCACTTGAAAATTGGGTCGAACGGGTGCGCTTTTAATTGCCTTTGGCGCACACTTCTCATACACAGCCATTATTCTACCTCATTAATATATTTGTGCATAAACTATGTGTATGTATGTGTGTGTACTGCGCCGCTGCTAATTAAGTGTGCAATTGTCTGCGCTGCTCCATCGAGCTACGTCCATACTGCAGTGCTGCCATCGTTACTGGTATGGTATGTATGTGTGTGTGCTTTGACGTTTGCCAGCGCCGCACTCATACATACATACCATATTCTCAAGTCGTTATGATTTTTCGGCAATTCGCAATCGCAATTGGGTCACTACGTCATTACGTTTGCGCTCAGCTTACGAGTACACCCTTGCGGAAACACATACACAAACATAGGTGTGTGTGTATGTGCATGCATGCACTTATGTACGTTTTTCTTCATTTTAACGACCCTTTGTTAAAGCGAGAATTTTCGCCGCGCCTGAGTTATTGCCCCTGGCAACATCAGCGATAAAAGTATCCGAGTGAAATATGTACTTATGTGTATATGTTATACAGCGCTGTGGCAATGGCATGCAAATATTGCCACATACCATATTATTGCTGTTGTTTCCTTTTGGGTTTTCGCCAATTAGCAAGGTTCGACGGACGGTTTCCTCAGTTGGTGTCGTGGGCTCGGAGTAGAAGCCTATGTATGCAAGTAGCTGCCGCTGCCGTTGAAGAAGCAATTTGTGAATGACCGTGACGCCTTGTATACGAGCGAAGCAACTGATGGCAACCCGGTGCGAAAAACTCACATTGAACAAATTTGCTTCTTCTTTTAAGCATGCAAGCGTGTTTTTTTTATTTAAGAGTGTCGAGCTTTTAGGACCAGAAATTCCTATTGCGATCTCCGTGATGCCTGCAGCATAGTTTGCTGTGCGGGCACAAAATGGTTCTAAGCGAAATCTCCTTCAAAACCACGTTTCAAAATGTATTTCTTTTACTTTCGTTGCCATAAAAACCAATGATGCAACCATTTTTCCTACCAGGTATGTGCAAGGTGTTAAATACACATGAACAGTGCAGAATCGGCGATAACTGCCGAAATCAATTGCGAAAATTTTAATTTGATTTCCTTAGCGAATTACCGTTAGCAATTGAACTACTGCGTTGCTTTTTAGGATTGTGCGATGAAGATTTTAGTTTTATTTTTATCTTCATTAAAACAAAAAATAATGGCAACGGATTATTCACAGTTGCTGGCAGCTTTCGAAATTCTTTAGTTTGGAAGTTAAGTCAATGAAAACCTGCTTGCTTCGTTGAGGGCATGTCTAAAATGTCTTGCATCAAACGAACCAGGGATGTCAATGCTCAATCTTATTTTGCACAAATTCTGTCATAACATCATAGAGGAAATTTATTTTCTTGCTGTCGGCGGCGCTTTTAAAGACTACAAATATATGGCGAAATTGGAGAAATGTTAATTTTAGACTCAAAGAAATGCTTCGATTCCTGAGAATTTTCCTGTATATTGTATAGGCCCATGCCTTCAGATTTAAATCACTATTTAGCCACGTATATGGTATAAGTTAGGTCATTTTGATTGATAGCCACCACAGTTTTTGCGATCACTTTCCTTGCGGATTACTAAAAAGTATGCTCTTTTTCAATCGGTTTGAAAAACCTTTCTGTAAGCTAGTTGCATATTTCAAGATAGATGCCAGTAGGCAGCTGTTTTTCTTGCTGGACACTACCAATTTCAGTGGATACACATCTCTCTATCTTTGTTTACTTAGAATTTTTTTTTAGGGCAAGAACTGTAAGTTCAGGGGGTTTACAAAAAAAAAATTTGTTCGGAAATAACAGAATGTACATACATATGCATACTCGCACTTCTATATCAATGCATTTATGTAAAATTCATATAATATTTCACTCTAATGACACAAATCCTCAATAAAGATGTTGACAAATTCGAGGAATTATTTTCGAGTATTGCTCGCGCTTCAATTAATGTTAATTGTCGAGAAGTTGTTGCCTTAAAGAGTGTGGACTATTTGCTTCCTGGAAGTCCTCACTACGCTGGTGATTTATTCGACTGACGGCAAAGGTGCGTGCATGCGTGGTTGGCGTGTGTCTGACCAATGCATCTGGGTGTAATCAGAATTCCAACGTCGTTGTAATGCCTCATTGTAGTCTAGTGTACTGTAGGGTGCCTCAGACTATTACTCTTCTGAAGTCAAACAGAAGTCAAATAAATACTCAAAGCCATACATCCGTTGAATAACTTTCCAAAAATTAGCATTCAGTTTAAGTGTTTGCCTTTCGCTGTCTGGCTACAATGGGGCAAGTGCCGAGGTGCACGCGTTACGTAAAATGTCAAATTAATGTTGAGAGGCCTTTACTTGTTTGTGTATTAATACATGTGTGTGTGCGCACTTGTCTACACGATAAAATGTATCTACGTGAGTAGAAGACAGGTGGTTTAGTTTCTAATAATTTGTTCCAACGCGATTGGCGTGAGGGGTTTGCAGGATAAGTACGAGCCAGCCTGGCTGATCGCGATTGTATGTCTTTAATTACATTTGTTTGCAAACAAACTATAAAGAAAATCCTGTGAATATTTGTAGATATGTCCATTCAAGTAAAAATATGCCAAATTTTAAGTATATCTTCCGATGTAAAAAATACTTTATTATTCATGGAGCCAAAAATTGTAACATGGAGACAATGAATCCTGGCTTTGCTGAGATTTGATGTCATTTATAATCTACAATAGGTTACAAAGGTATCGATGGCAATGATATAGTGGACGAGATTGCCAAGAGTGGTGCTACGGCTGTCATCCGATATCATGAATGATATTGGTAAGCCCGTTCGTTGTCTTTACGACGAACTGAACAAGAGCATGATAAGGAAGGTTAAAATTCGATGGAATGCTCTATTGGAAGGCAAAATTGCAAAAGTCATGAGCAAAGCGGTAGATCAAAAATACACAAAGATCCGGCTCATTTTTGATAGAAGACTGTGGGAACATGATTGGATTACTCGCTGTCCACAGTCTGGCGGCGGCACGACGGCACACGCCTGCAGAATGTGGCTGACAGTAGGAAATGTCAAGAGAATGCCACCACTACTGGCTTGGATCATCTCTTGAAAAGGTAGCATATTTTCTTTTTTGTATTGTATATATGCTTCCTCAGATATCACATGGAGTCTCTTCAATAACTCGAAAGAAAAATTATCGCAAACAGTTATTTCTTGCGTGTCCAAAGCACATGGCTCCCGGTACCTCGAATTTAAATGTATTGGCTTGTGTGTTCGTTTCGCCAGTCCCTTTAACTGTGACTTTGCCCTCGAATCTGGTAAGCGGCGGGTTGAGAAAACTGAGTCAACATACCGAACAGTTTTGGTTTGCCACCACCCGTCCAAAAGTATGTATCCAAAGACTCAAACTAAATTAGGTTTGAAACATATGGGAGAGGTAATACAGAGGTTACATATTGGGAGAATTTTGAATACTCCGGAGAGGCCTTTGCAATTTCTCTTTGTTTTAGTCAAATTTATTGCAATCTTATTATAATATAGTATGCGTTAAGATTATTTTTTTTTTAACACATTTTGGACCTTTGGGTTCTCGATAAATGCTTTCACTAAGATGACGCAGCATTCGCAATATGTTATTAAGGAAGAGAGAGTCTGTTACTAAGCCGGTATTAAAAAAGCAAAGGGCTTTAGTTATGTTTGCACATCCACTTTTATAATTGGACTTAGCGCTTTCAACAATGCCATAAGAATGTGCAACTCCTCAAGATTAAATCAAATTTTGTGGTCAAGCGTGGAAGAGAACTATGTGCTACGTCAGCTGCACAAGCAGACCAATGCAACTACAAGTATAAACATCCTTCGGCTTGTGAGTCGCTGTAGCGTCTGCATCATCTGTTGGATCTAGCTCATTTGTGGTTTACGTCTTCTGCTTTTATTTTGGGTTAGTGAGTCTGATTATCGGATACCTCATTATTCGGGATAAACACACGGGTGGACGCTGAGAGTGATGAGGATGGCCACCAGTCAATCAGTTGATGTATGCTGTCGAACGCGCCACCATAACTACTACCAAACATATGTGCACGAAACGAACCCGAGGCGTACATGCTACTGCGGCATTTTGCTAACCCAAATTTCCCTACAATTGCACTTCAATTCTTGCAGCAATTGCGGCTAAGCGCCCTGGTGGTACTTGACCTAGGCAGCGTCTTCTGCTGCCGATGGTTCTGCTTTGTGTACTTAAGGTGTTTAAAGTCATAATATCAGCATGATGCTTC